CCTTGGCTACCCCAGCCGCCCAGCTAAATTAGGAACAGAACTCCAGCTGATCGTCTTCCTTCCTTAGACATGATGGCTGCTCTTGGATAATAGTGCCTGGTGGTGAGCGTGTTGCAGCCGCGCCCACTGCCTCTAGCAGGGATATTTCCTGCACTGGTGCAGTTCTTCCTCCAGTCCTGTGGGATTGCTGAGCGGCTATCAGCCGGTGAGCCTCCAGAAGTAGGCCAAATACGCGACCACACGGCCTTGTCACATAGCATAAGTCACCTCTCTAATTGCTTGACGTAACCCAGGAGGTTCGCTCCACTTCGCATTACATCGTTAGGCCCTCTAAACGACGATCTTCCATTACCTCACCTTAAAGGGACAGATTAGTGTTTTTCGCTGCTGACGCTGGGACCTTCTAGAGGGGTGGGTTTGGCGCGGTACCGTCTCCCGCCAATGGCGGTCGCCCGCTAGCTTACACAATTAGTGGAAAACAGGCTAGCGCTGTGCCGAACCCAGCCCCTCTAAGACGCTACGGGGTCAGCAGAGAACAATACGTTACCCGACTTACTACTGAAGCTACACTAGGCCACCGACGGTCAACTTTCTCTACGATTAGTTTTTAAAGGAAACAGATTTCGTAAACGGTAAACGTCCCGAGTTAAATGGCCCTGGAACCCGAAGACTGTATATAACTAGCTGTATACAACTGGCCTGGTCTCCAAGACCACATTACAGCGCTTTGACTGGTCTTTAATGTCTCGATAAGCTGACGCGCAACGAACAACTTCAAGTTTTCTTTAGCGTAAGGAGTAATTTGCGGTCCAATGCGATATCGGCAAACTGGCTCACCACATTAGCGCTGTAAGGCTATGGGACAAAATACACCGGGCTGAGAGGGTAGCAGCTCGGGTGGCATAACGGATAGCACCTCTTCCGGACAGCGTTAAGTGCTGGTTCGGGAGGACTGGGAAAGATCAAGAGTTCCGCCCATAACTCAGCATTCTTGCGACGCACTTGACGTTATAGCAGAACATCGGAGCCAGGTAAGTGTCTAGGGAAGGCCAGGACAGGCAGGTTAGGCTGGTGACTGTTGGAGGGGGGGGGGAAGGCGTACCTAAACCCGTTCCGGTTCCATTTGTGTCTATTGAACCTTTCTTCTCTCCTAGGTCGGGTACTTGGAACCACAGTTGTCTGAGAAGACAAACGCGCCACTATGTTAACGCAAATCGCGGTAACTTGAGCCAGTCATGTCCAAGGCGCAGTTTGGCGACGGGAGGGGAGGGGCACTTTTTGCTTCATTCCATCGACGTGTCGACCTATCTAGACAGCCTCTTCTCGAGTTGACAGGTTTTACCATGATGGCTTGACCACCTTGCTATAGCTTCACAAGAGTTCACAGGTTTCGCCAGAGTGAGACTTAGCTTAACCGGAACAGGGAAGCACTGATAGGTACAAATGCCCCCCACGACTGCGGCTCTTTATCCAAGTGTGTTTCGCCTGTAGCCTACTAAGCGAAAGTAAAGTGCGTTGGCGGCATCCTCTCCCCGGTAAGGAGTTTTTTCTTGTTTTCCTTTGCTTTCGGAAATGATGTCATGGATCCTAGAAAGGGAGCATCTTTCACTAGAGATCTGTGAACCTGGGTGTTTCTTATCGGCGGTGACTATGTAGACTCAAGCTGAAACATTTTTCATTTTTGACTGTTTCCCCGCGAGCTGTATGTACCACTGGTCGGGGCGCCGCAGTCTCACTGTATTGTACTTGGAACATAGTCTTGTTCGCTGCGAAGGCTGGAGCATTGCAGAAGGAGTACGCGTTAAGCCCGTTTTCCAATAACTGTGGACGCTTGCCTTCTTCAACATTTGGTGATGAACGGATTACCGTTTCGCCAAACCCACCTCCCCCCGCTCCAGGAAAAGGCTCCTGCTTAGCAGCGAAGAAGGCGTCTATCTGTACCCGAAGGAAACCGGTGTGCAGGGGTCGTGTTTTGAAAATCTTCTTTAGCACAAGGTGGCCTGAATTCTGGTTTATCCCAGGGAAAGCCATCTCAAATGAACCCACAGGACTGATTGTTTGGCATTTTCGACGATTCGCTTCCCGCCCCCCGACTATATTGGGCTTTCTCTGTGGCTCTCTCTATCCTATATTCAGCCGTTGTTGAATTTAACAACAGGATCCGACAATGCAGTTTCTAATCGAGCTTGATCTCACCTACCACCAACGAGTTCTTTTTCGGGGCGATCGACCAGCGAAGACAAGCAAATCTCGTGCGCAGCCCCTAAAGCTTGTAAGATAGCCTTAATTCCAACCCGGTAGACGCCCCGGGGACTGATTCCTTTCGTATCTTTAACAATATAGGATTATCGAAATGGTGCTTAATGAGTACGTGTCGTCCCGCCGAACAGTTTTGACGGCTAGAATCGGCTGGGTGCTAACGATCCAAAAAAGTGAAGAACAACTGATTTCCTTCCAACGGGAAACGGTTCGGAATATCTTCGCCATCTATAGTTGTGAATTAAAATCTCATTAAATCTGTTGCTGAATGATGGTGGCTTTCCTACTAATGTTTCAACGACAGTTAATGTTCCGAGGCCTCGTCCTTAAAGGACTCCTGCGCCTTAGGTCTACTTTCGTCTTTTTCCAACAGATATAGACGTGGATCGCCTGCAACGACAGCGCGTGAGGAGGGGGTGGGGGGCGTGTTAGGATCTGCCACAGCAGTCTTCCGTCATTTGTTCGGATTCCATGGCTCGGACGTCATTGATTTAAAGGCTGTGCCTCGGCAGCGCTCCCAATTCACCCCCCCCCCTAACTTCACGCCACATGTCACTCGTTTTGCAGGCACATGACTGTAGCAGTGGTCACTTACGGAATACGTGTGCACGAAGTTTCGTGTAGAAAGATTGAAGCCACAAAGGGTAAAGTAGGTTTAAAAGAACATTTCATGGAAATTTGGTGGTTTTGGAGGTGAAGAAAAAGCTAAAATGATTTAATAGTGGCCCTATAGCTGTCTCGGCGATGTAAAACAAGTATGGACAGACGTAAAGTGACGCGTTGTAGGGAGAAAATCAAGGATTGACGTGTAAGTTCGGGTCGGCGAACGTTTATATTCACTGATTGACCCAAATTCCACAGTAGCTCTCGGAACTAGGCCTTAATCATAGCTTATCCAACCGTTCTTCCAGTGGATTTCTGGGTGACGACGCGCAAGAGTAACAATTTTTGTCGCGGTCTTTGCACTTCGTCCAAACTGGCTAAACTAATAAATAGATTTTTGTGTAGGTCCAATGCATTTTGCCACCTTTTTGTTTGCATGCGATTTTATATTTGTTCCAGCTGCGAAGCGTAAAACAATTGATTACATCTTCCTACCCGAATGTACACGTCCGATCATGGTTTTCTCCGTACAACGCTCCAGTGCTCATGGCCACGCAGGGGTCTTTCCAAGAGGCCCGCCTCCGTGACTACCAGCTGTCCAAAAGGTCATATCAAGTTCTGGGAAAGATAGAGTCGCGCAATTTCTGTGCACAATGCCTTCAAGGGATAAGACCTATCCAAATCGTTTTAATGGCCCGAAAGGAGCTTTATGGTGCATGAAAAACGTTCCGATGAAAAGATAGACGGAATGCTAATGTGGCTATTTCAGTTAATGCTATTGAAAATGGCTGCGACGATGCCGATCCAAAGTGTCCGGAATGGGCAGCTGAGGGCGAATGCTCGTCGAACGCCGTTTGGTGAGTTGCCCAAAGTTGGTCGTGAAGACGAACCTATTAAAATAACGGTTCATTACAGGATGATGGCAAATTGTCGAAAGTCGTGCCATTCGTGCCAAGGTGGCGATAAGGCATGGAAATTGCGGACTCATATTCAGGCCAACTATCATAATGCTAGCGATAGCACGACTAGAATTGTACGAGTTGAAAGCGTTCGAGTGAACAACGTGGAGATAGTGAGTGAGACCTTTTTTCACTCTTTCGCTCAGTTTTTCTCAAAGCGCCATCTACACTACCCGTGCACACGGTAGACTTCATAGGAAGCCCCGCCCCAGATGGTCACGCCCATTTTTGTCGCGAGCATTTTTATTACACCCATTGTACCATATTATTTACACTAGTTCTCACAGTTACAACACATCACTCATATACACTGCCGAATGGGCTCACACGTTATGATACACTTGACTCCGCCCCCAACAACTCCGCCCACTTTTAGGGGATTCATTGGAAATTCGCATCATTGTAACTTTATTCGCCGTAACAGCTAGCTGCGCACAGAAAAGAACACATATTGATTGCACGCGCGTGAAATCAATATGTATGAGAAGGTTCACTGATAGAGGGACGGATGATGGTGTGAAGGGAGTCCGATCTTAGCGCATTTTTGAATTTTGTAGAATACGTATGGTGGCTTAGGGGTTTAAATCGAGCAAAGATTGCCACTCACCACGCCCATAGTTCTAAAGATCCAATCCTAGTACTGCCAAGCCCCCATGTTAGGCGAAACGTCCATCCTTCTCTTGTTGGCTA